TTCTTGAAGCCATTGGCAAGGTATTTGATGGGGCATATTCACCTGATGGCAAGACACTCGCTGCAGCTATCAGAAACGGATCAGATAGCAATTCAATCATCGTGTATGACACATCAACATGGGAGAAGCTTTTTGCTTTGAAGGACGATGTAACTACCTACAGTCTTTTATACTCACCAGACAGCAGATATATTGCCTCCTGGCACTATAACGAAAGCGTAGTTCTAATTTGGGATGCAGGATCGGGAGCATTGGTTCACAGATTGGTGGGCCATACAGGGCGTGTCTACTGTGTAGCGTACTCGCCAAGCGGGAACGATCTTGCTTCAGCTAGCGATGATGGCTCAGTGCGAATGTGGGATACCCAATCAGGCGTTCTCAAATTTATGTTAGAGGGTCATACTGATGCTGTGAGGAGTATGGCATATTCACCTGATGGAAAGCAGATTGCAACTGGCGGTAAAGACATGACATTACGGCTATGGGATGCGACATCAGGGCAACAGTCGATGTTGCTGATGGACCATGAGAGATGGATTGGGCAAATTGAGTATTCACCTAATGGTCAGGAAATCATAACTCGTTGTTTGGAAGATTGCTGGCTGCATGTGTGGGATGTTGGATCAGGTCAAAAGAAGTTTATCTTGGAGCATGGTTATCATGTCGTAGGGATACAGTACTCACCTAATGGGAAGTTTGCTGCCTCGTTCACCCGGACGGAGATATATCAGTGGGATATGCAAACAGGGCAAGTCATTCATACTTTTGGTAAAGAATTTTTTGGTATCAAAGATCTAAAGTATTCACCAAACGAAGAAACGATAGCTGTTTGCGATCAGAGCAACACAATATGGCTTTGGGATGCGAGATCAGGCCAACTCATGAATACCTTCTACGGTCACTCTGATTGGATAAAATGCTTGGCATATTCACCAAACAACCACCAGATTGCGTCCTTCAGTAGAGACAAAACGATACGTCTATGGGATACTCGGCCACAACAATCCAGTCACGACTTACATAGCTATTCAGCAAGCATCCTTGGCATAACGAGCTCGCCGGATGGGCAGCAAATAGCTTCACGCAGTCAGGACCGAACAGTGCGTATGTGGGATGCAAGGACAGGACAGTCCATCTACACTTTGCAATGCTCCGGTAAAGATATAAAAGATATCAAGTATTCACCTGATGGCCGGTTGCTTGCCTCTCGCCATTATTCTCCACGCGTCTATCTTTGGGATGTCCGAACAGGCGTACCCGTTCACACTTTGGAGCTACAAGGTGAAGGTGCTGATGATATCAATTCCTTTGATTTCTCACCTATTGGTCACCAAATTGCCTGTGGTCATGTATCTGGAAGAGTGACTATATGGGACACACAAACAGGAGAGCTCATCCGCACACTACATGGCCACAAAACAGAGATGCATAATGTGGTGTTCTCACCTAATGGCGACCAGATTGCTTCGTACGATGGCGGTGGAAACATCATAGTCTGGAAAGCTCAATCAGGGGAACTCCAGCATGAAGTGAGTGATGAAGTGAGTGATAGAGCAATCTGGTACTCTTATATCGCATACACGCCTGACAGCCGGAAGATAGTGTTGTGGAACCGCTCTAGTCTCGACAGCTGGAAAGTATGGAGTGCAGGAACGGGTGGGATATGTTACGAAACACAGTTTGACGATAGTCTAAATTGTGTAGCACTTTCACCATGCAGTCAACAGATGGCTGTTGGACATTGGGAAGGGCTGGTTAGTGTGGGGGATATTGAAACAGGGTCAATACTATGGGTGCTTGAAGGACATATTAGCACGATTACTGATATTGCTTATTCGCCTGATGGAAGATACATTGCCTCAAGCAGTGAGGACATGACAGTGCGAGTGTGGGATCCGAAATCAGGCCAGTGTTTGATTGTAATCCCATGTGAAGGTGGTTATGCTAATACGTTTGTATGGAATGCCTCTAAAGAGGGCCACTATCTGGTTACAGGCTGTGAGGATGGTTCTATCCGGATGTGGCAGATTGTGAAGGAGAATGAGGAATACCAATACCACCTAAAGTGGAGCACCAGACAAACGACCCTTAATGCAAACAATGCTCGTATTCACTCTGTAGGTGGGTTGAGTGAAGTCAACAGGAAGCTCCTAATGCAACGTGGAGCTATAGAGGAGCAACCCTCCTCTTTAGCTGTACAAGAGGCGATCAAGAGTGTAGGAACGCCACCAATAGCATCCAAGGCAAAGAGTGGGTCCAGTCAAGTGGGTCATTATCAAGAACCATCACCGATAGCATATTTAAATGCAGGTTTAGAGGCAGATTTAGAGGTAGAAGATCTGAGGGAAGAAGCACGATTGACAAGGCTGACAGAAATGAGCCAATCGATCGGAGGCTACCGGCTCAAATGCAGAGCTTGCAATGAATGTAGCATTGCACATGTCATTTCATGCGAGCCTTGTGAGTCCAGAGTCAAGAGGGTAGATAGACACGAAGTCGTCCAGGATATAGAATAAAGTGCAAATATTGCCTCTTTACAATCACACAATAAAAAAGAAAGTGCCTCTTGAATAAGATAAGATAGCTTGAGAATGTTGTATTTATAGCAGAATGTGTAGTAACTACATCTATATATTAGAGGTCTGAACAATCCCACTCTGCAGGAGTCAAGTATACCGCATCACCACTTTCAACGCTCCACAGCTGCTGTAGTGATCCTGCAAGGCAAGAAGTATGGGTACATCTTCTGGCTCTTTGGCTTAATCTCTATTTCTATTTTCATTTCTATTTTCATTTTTATTTTCATTTTTATATTGGTTAAAAAAAGTTCTGATGGGTCAAGCCCATACGGATAAAGATAAAAGTACAGACTTTGTTAGTGTCAAACGGCTTATTCATATTCATAGGTTGTATAATGAACCACTCTGTGATTTTATCGAGTACCCATGTTTTGTCCACAATCACCGCTTTGCCATTCAACTTTGAGCATAGAGGTGATCGGAGATGGAGGTATTACCTCAAGTTAAGCGGGATCTTGCCTTCACCCTATCATTCACCACAGTGACACAATTATTTTTTTTTCTTTGAAGCGAAGTACATTGGTTGGCCATTAACTCTTTGCTTTACTATGCTATCGTACGCAGAAGGTTTTTTTTTTTTTTTTTTTTTTTTTTTTTTTTTTTCAAAACTGATACCATCCGTAGATGATCCTGCTGTTGATAGAATTTCGTTCCCATCTTCCGGGATGATTCCATGATATGTCGTCGTCTGGGAAGAGAGGCTGCGTCTAATGCTGCAACATCTCAAGTTCAGTCTTGATGCCTTGGAGGACAATTCGATCCTGACCGTGATCTGGTTCAGCACATGTCATTCCCATCAGCTTCAGCTGATCCACTTCATTGAACTGTTGTATCATCTTGATCTCCATCCCCATCTGAAGATCTTGACGCATCAATGCATGTTGCGATTGGCAGCCATTTATATATTTTTACTATAGCTAAGATATTTGCCCTTGTTTTCTAACAAAGATCCTTGATTACAATAAAGATATCTTTCTTTCGTTCTCGTTACTTGTTAAGATCCCAGCATATTCCAGAGTCACTATGTTTGGATTTATGCCTTTATATTTATTTTTGATCTTTGCTATGCTATTGTTTCTGAGCTACGTATTTCCTCGCGGCGCTTGAAAACTATGGAGGAGATGGATGGCTATGGTGATACATAAGTCTATACTAACTGCGGTTGTTCTCATCGCTGGATGTTTGGGAGTACTATTTTATGGGCTAATAGCGTCAAGGAAGTTGTACGGTTGTACTTTGGCTCGAGTTCACTAACCATTACCCCATTTTTCCCTCTCCTCTCTACACCTCCTTCCTCTATCCAGCTTTAGGTAATGTATAGCTGAGCAGGATCACCCTTCGGATAGACAACCACTGCTACTCACTAGTGAGATGGCAAATGGTCACAAGTGAGTGAGTAGGAATATCGATTCATCCTATCGGACTGGTGACAACAGTTGAGGCATACAAGGATAATCCAGATGATGACAAATATGTCAGGGATGATGAAGGGACGTTGGCTCGATATCAGGCTAGTCTTTAAGAGATAAGGACCCCTAGGACGTGGCCGGCGCTTGCCGTAAACATTTATTATGATAGTTTCGCAACAAATAAATAAATAAATAAAAAAGAGGCTTTACTGGGGTAGCAAGTATAGTTCAATCATTTCATATTTGTTTCTTTATTCATGACCTTTTGTTCTTTACATTCCTTTTGAAGGAGGCATCGCCATTTCTGACCCTTTACCGTGAAGGAGAAGAGGAAGTCCGACTCCCTAAATTATCCACAAGCAAAAGTGGGGTACCATGTTTTGAGAGGACTGGGGCTACCTTTTAGCTCTTCGCAAAAGAGGTGTGTGTACCTGTCTTTACTTCAAAAAAGAATAGCATTGCCAAGGTACAAAAGAATACTAAATCATGTAACAGGAACTCTTGCATTGAGGCTAAGAACCGACTAAAATGTAGAAGCAGAGATAAGCAAATGAAAAATGTTCCTCCGATTGTCAATTCCCAGGGCTACTGGTGCTCCATAGAACTTTCAGGCTGCTTTGCTTCCGGCCAAAGGATGCGAATGGACAGTACCCTTAAATGAAAGGACAATCAGGTAGAACATGCACGCAAAAGAGTTGATATTCAGATACAACAAGGCTGTCAAGTTTGCAGGAGGGCCTTTGTATTTTTCTCACCTTGTTACACTGAATGGCGAAGCAGAAAAAAAAAAAAAAAAAAAAAAAAAAAAAGACGGAATGAGGAACTCTTCATCTTACCATCATCATCCATTGGATTATCACCAAGATGTCACAACATCAATACCAACAATTCCGAATTGTCACCATGGTTAAAAAAAAAGTTTATGTCAGGACTGGAAAGATTTCTGCAAGCAATGACAGCTCTTTAAGTTATGTGTGTCTGCAAGTCATTCGAGACGTGTCCTCTAATGCATTGTGATTCAAATTGGATGGGAATCCCATGCCATTCCTCATAGATCCTAATGGCAACAGGTCAGGTTTGTTATTTATCATGGTGTCCTATGTGCCTTTTTGTACTTTATCGATTGCTTCGAGAGGATTCAATTCGTCAACGTTCTTTTTCTTTTTCTTTTTCTTTTTCTTTTTTTTTGTTCTTTGCTCTATTAGAATCGAACCTTCATGGAGTGCATTCTATCTTGACAAGCTCCTGGATGTCACTACAGAAATACCACAGATCTGCAGCTGCAATTGCGACAGTAACAGTGACAGCAACAGTAAAGCCGTCATTCATTTATCCTAGATCGAGAAAGCTGGTAAATTGGATTTCCTCCCAAGATGTCATGTTATCATTATCAGGTTTGGATCAGCCTTTCAACCAATCCCTTACTACTTACCAGAACGCACAAACCGAGTTGATCAAGCCTGAGCTTGAACAGATTAAAGCGTTATTGCGGAAGGTTAAAGTGAAGAGCGATCAGATGATGCACCTACAATCGGAAATGCTTAGAATGCAAGCGACCATGATCAAAATGCAGTTGGAGCCCAAGGACGAGAAAATGGATGAACTGCAATGCTATGGGAGACCAAAAAGAAAGACGATGAAATGCTTAAACTGTAACTAGAAGGGTTAAGGAGAAGGATGATCAAATGCTTGAACTACAAAAGCAGGTCCTCGACAGGCCTAAGTGGCAAGTACACCCTTTTATATTGCCTCAAGTTAGAAATGGGAACGATCCCGGCTGTTGCTCGGACACGAGCCCCGAACCTGATTGATGCCGCTATCGCTTATTTAATCACTTGTATGGGTGCGCTTTCCAAGGAGTATCAGGAGTTCTGGCAGTGTCATAGGCACTTAAGGCTAATACAAATTTGACCAGATTGGATTTGTGGGAATAACTCAATTGGGAAAGAAAAAAAAATGATGGTGTCTGTCTTCCAACGACTAAAGAGCCATGATAGTGTAATGCTCTTTCTACTGCCTACCTGACTTTGAGTCTTTATTCGCTTTAGACTAGGTTGGTCATTGAGATTGTGTGGAAGTAGCATCCCGATACAACCTATGCAGACAAGTCATATTTATCTTTTCTGCTGCTCATTCTACGGGGAAAAATTCGTTTCTACGATGTGGGATGTGCGATATGATATGGGTGCGCTTGCAATATCCATGTCATGTACTAACTCCCATACCTTCCCATGGTTATGCTTCATTTGTTTTTCGCTACAGGAAGCTTTTTTTTTTTTTTTTTTTTCTTTTATTTTTTTAACAGTATGAATCCAAAGCTGAAGAACTCTCACTCAAGTGATTCACTCTTCAAATGTGATAATCTCAACGTATTTTTGTTTAAAAGTTTCTTCCTCGGGATGGAAAGCATTATGATAAACTATGGAAATCCCATCTATCGGCAGATCTCTTCTGCTAGGCTTTGTCTGAAAAAAAAAAAAAAAAAAAAAAAAAAAAAGCTTCTCTCATTCTGATATAATTCAATATTTATACCTTTGCGGTCCGCCTTTAAAATGTTTTTTTTTTTTTTTTTTTTTTTTTTTGTTGTTGTTGTTGTTGTTTTTGTTTTTGTTTTTGTTTTTGTTGTCTCTATCGGAACATTGAGAGCCAAAAAAATAAAAAAAAAAATAAAAAAAAAAGTGACGTGACAGACAATGGCGCACTGTAGAGAAGTTATAAAGAAAAAAGAGCTTGTCTCGTTCTCGTTCACGTTTTCCTAATGTCTGTCTGTTTATTATAGCCAGTAAGCCAGTGATAAGAGATGATGAGATGAATAGCATTTATGTATATATATTATGTATTATATACAAGTAAAAGAAGCTTTTTCAGTGCCTTTGCTTTGCTTTGCATATAGATAGTCCCGATTGAAAGATGATTCAACTCTGTAAACCACAGCCAGCGTGAAGAGAGGACGAGAATGATACATGACGCTGATATTATTTTCCGGATGTTCTATGAATAGGATGCTTCTCAAGAATAACTCTATTTGATTTGATTGCAAGAGAGTTAGTTCAGTTTGGAACTGATTTTTAAGCTGTACCTGGCCTGGCTACTTTTATGGGAAAGTGACAGAGCAAAGCAGACACGATGAGCTAAAATCAGATTGGCTGTTAAGGAAGCTCTTGTCACTGACTTTGATGTTTGTTTAGTCAAGGTTCAAGAGCAGTCAAAGGATGACTCTGCTTATGTTTATCTTTATCACGTTGTTTTCTCTATTCTATTACACAGACACAGAAAAAAAAAAAGAGCGCGCAAAAGCAATAAAAAGCAAAGGGCAAAAAAAAAGAAAAAAAAAGTATTTTGTCTTTCCACAGTCACAATTGGTTCACCTTGATCGTTCACAAGCATCATTTTCTTTCATTTCCATTTCCTAACCGCTTCCGTCGTTTTTTTCTTCACGCTTTCGCGTTTTTTTTCTTTTTTTCTTTTTTTTCTTTTTTATTAGGACCTTCTGCAAAAAAAAAAAAAAAAAAAAAAACACACACAAGTTCATCAAAAGGGTCAGTCTACCTCCCTACGACTCGTTTTTTTTTTTTTTTGTTTTTTTTTAAAAATATTTTTCTTTTTACTAATCTAATCCATGTATGCATAAAGACAATGTGTGTATGTGTGTTGTTGTTGTTGTGAGGTAACGGTGACGGCTCTAGACCTTCCATGGAACGCGAAAAACTTATTTTTTTTTTTTTTTTTTTCTCTTTTTCTTTTTTCCTTTTTTTTTTTTTTCAAAAAAAAAAAAAAGTCCATCAATAAAATCATAATTTAAAAAAAAAAAAGAAAGAAAAAAAAAAAACAATTAGTTTGCAGGCAGCAATCAGGCACTCGATGACTTCACGCGAGAATGGAACACACAGGACTGCAGGAGAATTAACTGCTACTGCACCTGGCTCTGGCTCTCGTGTAACAACAACGGCAAGTGCGGCTGCGAATGGAACTGGAACTGGAGCTGGAGCTGGAACTGCGACTATACCCGCTGCCACCTCTTCTGCCGCGTCTGTGACCAACGAGGGTCTGGAGCCCCGTAAACGTGGACGACCAAGGAAAAAACCACTGGATTCTCAAACACCCGTCAAGGCTCTTTATCCCCCAGCAGAGCCCCGAAAGCGCGGTCGACCTAGAAAAAACCCTGTGGATTCACCCATGAATGCGTCTTCTTCTTCATCTTCGTCTCATGCTCATCCTTCCAATGCTGAATCCATCCCACCAGGAGAGCCCCGTAAGCGAGGACGTCCTAAAAAAGAGGGTCAGGAACCTTTGACAGCACCTCCGACGACTCTATCTGAAGCAGAACCACGCAAGCGTGGAAGACCTAGTCATTCTCTTCATGGTTAAAATAACAAAAAAAACAAAAAAACAAAAAAACGAAATATAAAAAAAAAAAAAAATAACAAGCCGAAAAAAAAAAAAAAAAAAAAAAAAATAACAAATAACAAATATTGGGAAAAGAGATGGCCCAACTGTTTTTGGTGGGGCGACCTTTATTATTGTTATTATATATATATATATACTATTATTTTTACATTTTTGCAAATAACAAAAACCAACTTAGTAACATTTAACAGCAAAGGATTCGCTACCCTGGTCATCTTTTTTTTATTGTCAGTCAGTCACTCAATTAGTGCTTCAAGGAACACGAGTCATTCGAATACATGAAATATACAAACGCATCAATATATAACATGAAAGAGAAGAAACCATGTCAAAAAATGGTTTATGTGTGCGTGTGTACACATGTATGTAATGGTATGATGAATATATAGGACACACAAGTAAAGAATGTGGAAAAGCTTTTCTTCTTTCTTTCTTTCTTTTGTTTGGGCGCTATTCCCCCGCCTCCCCAAAATGATGTATTGGTTAGGACACATAATTATTTCAAGGGGAAGTGTGGGATGTGTGTGTGTGGCTCAGTCCGAATGGCCCCATTTGGAACAACTTTTTGTTCTCGTTCAGCATCGCCTCCCCCTCTGCCTCTTTGTCAATTGTCAATTGTCGATTGTAGCATTTCTGATTTAACGCGCTGATCTTTTTTACATTTTCATTCAGACAAAAAGCCATTGTCTTGTCTCACTCTCCCTCTCTTCCATCTACCCATCCTCTCTTTCTCTCTTTCTCTCTCTCTCTTTGTTGCTTCCGCCAACATCAAATCTTAGCAATGGGTGCTGCCTCGGAAGCATTCCGTTTGATTGAGACTGGGGGCAATCCACGTCTGCATCCAGACTTGGTAATTTAAACAATAACCAAATGCAAGCCCTAATTTTTTATTTATTTATTTATTTATTTTTTGTTGGTCTCTACGCAGCAAATAATCCCTTTCGAACAGAAAGACAGACAGAGAGAGAGGCTAATCCTAATCGTTTATTAACTTGGCATGATATCGCTTAGGATTACACTTTATATCTACCATTATTGATATCACGATATTCCTTGGAATATATCCCATTTCTAGTCCGCTACCCTCAGGTATTTCCTTTTTTTTTTTAAATATACTTTCTCAAACTTCATTCCTGTAATTTTTTTTTTTTCTTTGTTTGTTTTGTAAAATGCTCAATTTCTTATTCTTACTTTGTTCAGACATGGATTGCAACTAGGTATCGGGATCTTGATTATCGATTAATCCAACGCCAGGTCAAAGAGGAACTGCAATTGGAAAAACAAAATATACAGAGATCCACATCCAATTCAACACTATCACTGTTCGAAACAGGAACTGACGAGGACCGAGCACGGTATGTTAGTAAATCGTTATTTATAAAGGCTATGAAGGCTATGAAGGCTATGAAGGCTATGAAGGCTATGAAGGCTATGAAGGCTATAAAGGCTTGTGAACTGAAGGGGGGAGCCAAACTCCTTTTATAAAATTTTGTTCCGCAAAAGCAAAAAAAAAAAAAAAAAAAAAAAAACATAAATATTTTAAATGTTATATATACTAATTGCATAAAAGCTTTTCCTTTTTAGCATCGTGCTAATTGAACTTGCTAAACTGGATTGGGAGAGTTCAGAACAGTCCTTCACAAATGGAAATAAACAGATCGAACGCCAGGCCTCAGCTCTGTTTGACAGCCCTATATACCGCCAAGAAGTCTCAATGATCCTGGCAATGTGTACTCTGCGATGCAGGCATCCTCTGTTAAACATCCAGGTCTGTTTGCTGATCTTTTTTTTTTTTTTTTTTTTTTTTTTGTTTATGAAAAATAAGAAACCTATCTTCCTCTTTAAAATGACATTCTAACATTTTTTCAATTTACGTTTAATGTTACTATAATAATATTAGGCAACTGTGAATTCACTACGCTTATTACAAAACCCTGCGCCGCTGATCACTACTCTAGTTGCCAATCACCCCTCATCATTTTCTCTCATCATCGAATCTTTACTGGGATCAGAGGGACGCCTCAGCAACACAAAACCCATCCTCCTCCGACTGTGCAAATTGGCTGATCATAAGATATGGGGCGTTCGTCAACGACTGATTACAAGGAAAGTATTTCCGAATCTCGCTATTGAACTCACTATCGAACATTGTCACGACGAAATCTGCTTCATGAATCGGATCCTACGGGGACAACCAGAATGGCTCACGAATGATGTGGATCCGATTACGAGGAACAGTCTTAGTTCGATCATGGAATTCGTGTTTTCATCTCTGAATGATGAACTAACTTCGGAGAGACCGGACCATGTGGCCGTCAACCGCCTGCTCAGGATCCTTTCAGGCATGGTTGGTTTGATGAACCTGTCATTGACGGCTGAACAACTGGAGATTTCAATGGGCATTCTGGAAATGTCCCCACTAGAGTCAAGCACGATTGGTCTCAAGATTTGTCTTATCCTAATGAGCGCGTCCCAACTCCTTAAATATTCTCAATCTCGGCTTGAACGAGTTCTTCATCAAATGATTCGTTGTCAAGATTCAACACAGATCCAACATCTCTTGATATATTTCCAGCAACAGCAGCTTTTGAGGATCGATGACATGGTATCAAAAACACTCTCGATGAGCATTGTGGTTCCACGTGGCGGTCTTATGGAGTTGAGCACACTCTTCTCTCACGTGTTTACAAATGAAGAACTGTCCTCGTGTGCGCTTAGAATCGGTCGACCTACTGTTAGTTCTGGTGCTGGTGCTGGTGCTGATAATGCTTCTAATGCTGCTAACGCGGATGCTACAGTATTAGGCACCAAGGAATCGACCATTAAATCCACAATAAACTCAATATCGACTCATACCCCTAACCCGGACAGTGAACAGGATTCATCTTTACGTTCCACAGCAAATTTCATCGTTGGTTATTTATTACAGCAGGACGTTTTCCACAAGAGTGCAACCGATGTTCAGAAATGGGTTATGGAGCAAATTCAGGCGGCGACTGTACCCCTGGATGCGAACATGATTCATTTGTTGCGAGCATATACAGCAGCTATCTCACGATCCCCTCATATCACAAGGATACCTGAGCAGGACATCAGAGCATGCTTCAGTAACCCGTATGATGACCCAACACCGGCGAAGGTCTTGATTGTTCTGTACATGCTCATGAATAATGATCTCTGTATAGGGAACTTGGGCAGCATCGGTGCAATAGGGCGAATGAAAGGTGGGCATACATTTGTATATAAAAATGACTGGCGTGTTTTTTTGGACGAATCAATGGCAATCTTTTTCTTTTTTTCTCTTTTTTTTTTTTTTTTTTTTTTTTTTTTTTTGGAAGGAGCACAACCCTGAGCAAAAGACGCTAACTAGTCTTTTTTTTTTTTTTTATTATTATTTTTTTTATTTTTTAGAATATGATGCGAACTTACTGGAATATGTTCAGATCCGAAAAATAGTGCTCTATGTTCAAAACTTTCAGGGAGGAACGGCATTTCGTGCAGTACAACCCATGTTCCTGAAACTTGTCAACTCTCAGTTCCCGGAGTTGTTTGATGTTACGACACTGCTTCTAGAGGAAGGAATGGCTACCTCGACACAACACCATGTAGAAGGCTCCTATTCTGAACCAAGGCAGAACCCATTGGAAACTGTAGATGCTGCACAAATCATGGAACCGCACTTCCAGGCCATAGCCCAACATATTCGTGATCCTAGAGCAGCAGTTAAAGGTAAGAGGAAGATGGTGGCTTATAAGGAGCTCTTTTTTTTTTTTTTTTTTTTTCTGGCCCATACTCTACGAATATTAAAAAAAAAATAAAAAATAAAAAAAATTCGCTATAGGCTACCATTCATTCCAGAGGCTACGCCAATCCGATAGGCAGATGTTAGCAGAACAGTTAATCAAAGTGAGCTTGCCATCTTTGCTGGATCCAAAGTCAAGTCCACCTGTGATTGAAGCTTTCAAGAATACATGGGATCAGCTCAATAGTATCATGCCACACGAGATATGGGCATTGACCATCCATGCACTCCTTCCACAACCACTCATGAATCCAAGATCTATCATCACCCCTACATCTACATCTACATCTATATCTATATCTACAGAATCCGCCACCGGCAGACCTCTACCACTCTCACATCAGATCGTGAAGCGTAATCAAGCGCAAAAACAATTGACGGTCCTCTATACTTTTGATTGGCTGGTCCAAGATCCATTATTGCTTTTCAAGGTCGACTTTCGGACTTTTCGTTCACCAATGATTTTCCGTCTTTTTATTCAGGTGTTAAGTGCGGTGATGACGGGATCACGACATTGGTACCGGAAACAACTTCAGATTGCACAGGCATATCCACAAGCTCCACAACAGGGTCGACACCCATCAGTATCAGGATCTTCTTCTTCTTCTTCCGCCTCTGCCGCTGCCGCTGCCTCTGCCTCTAATCCTGCCTCATTAGTACAAGCACAGCGACGTCAATTCAAGGAAGCCAATTTGAGTGCCATGCTCTATATCCAGGACTCTGCATTGGTTCAGCTTTTATTGGAAATTTGTGAAGCACGTCCGGAGGATCTTGTGTCGTCGTCGACCAGCTCGTCGATGGAAGAGGGAACAGGGACACAACAACAACAACAACAACAACAACAACAGCCACGCATGACTAGAAAGAACCAAAAGGAGAGTTCAATGGATGATATCTCGAATGTGCTAAAGGAAGTACGGATTGTAACATTCAACTTTTTGCATCAGTTGTTCATTGATCACAAGATTTTTCCAAAACTGGTACACTTTCAGGGATATGCGATGGATTTATTACCGGCGGTTGTTGCGGGGGTGGATTCTATTCATGTGTGTCTGGATTTCTTGCAAGAGATTTTATTTTCAGTGGCCCCTTCCTCTATGCTTGCAATGAGCTCATCGGCTACTAGTACTACTCCTTCTTCATCTTCTTCTTCTTCTTCCCATCTTGGTGGAGGCGGTGGTAGTGGTGGTATTGGAGGAGGAGGAGGAGGAGGAGGAGGCGGTGGAATAGACTTACCAGAGGACAAACCAGATGTGGCCCCACAGGTGTTTGCACTTCGCTTGGCGGCTCATCTTTGTGAACGATTTCCGTTACAGAACACGATGCAGATGACGATTGATTTTATTTTACCGAGATTTCAGGCTCTGGCTATTAGTACAGGGTTCGCGAAGGAGGTTCTGGAGAGTGCTGTGATCTTGGCCAAGGCCTTTCCGAGTTTACGCGATGACATTGTGTCTGTGCTTCGAGGTACTGTGTATTTGTTCATATTTAATTTATTTTGTTTTCGTTTTTATTTTTATTTTTATTTTTATTTTTATTTTATTTTATTTTTATTTTATTTTATTATAATCTACTTTTTTTTTTTTTTTTTTTTTTTTTTTTTTTTTGTTAGGCTGTTGTTACATACTTGTTTTTACTAATCATAAAATCAACTTTTTTTTTTATTTTCACTTTTACTTTTTTTTTTTTTTTTTGCTTCTAACAGAAACAAGTGGACCACAGGACAAGAAAGCCTTGGAGAGGACAATCGAGGCAATTCATCAAGAATTACTTGATCCTGCCATCCTAGATAAAAGCTTGCTTTAAAGATTAAGAAAGAAAAAAAAAAAAAAAAAAAAAAAGTAAAAAAAGCAAGAGATTTGCTCAGTAGCCTTTCTTTTTATTCTTTTTTCCCTTAATATCCTCATACTCTAGTCTTTAAAAAAAAAAAAAAAAAAAAAAAAAAAAAAAGACTTTGATGGAAACTAATGTACAATAAAACACGAAGGAATGATGCGGACCTATTCCTCAATTAGATACCTTAATATATATATGTAAATATACATGTTACCATGAATACTATTCAAAGCTACTCCTACTTGGGTTACATTGTTAGGATATGAATGTAGTGTACTAGAAATATAACAAGAATGATGAACAATATTAATGCAACATTGCTCTTTTCTTACTTTTTTTAATCTATTTTATTTTTTTTTACTTTTGTAAACCTCGCTCTTGATCTATCTCTCTTCCCTTTCGCAACTGATAAAAAAGAAAAGAAAAAAAAAGAAAATACTAAGCTGAAAGAGCTTTTTTTTATATATATATATATATATCCATTCGACCCTCCACAAGAATAATAAGAATAATAAAAAAGAAAGAGAACATAAAGACTTTTTTTTTTTTTTTTTTTTTTTTTTTTAATTAGACGATCAACGCCTTTGAATTTTTTATTGCCATCAAGACTATTTTAGAATATTTGCTACGGATGTAGAAAAAAAAGACTTTTGAATTTTTTGATATTTTGTTTTTTAAAAAAAAAAAAAACGAATCAATCGTTTTTCAGAAAAGAATTGAAGAGCTGTTATTTCTTCTCCTCCCTCCCTATGTACATCCGATTAGTCGAACCAGTCGACCATTCGTTTTTTTTTTTCTTTTTTTTTCAGAAGGTGGGTATCTTTTTCTTTTAGACAGCGCCGTTGAAGACGAGGCGGTTGGGGGAGTTCTTCAAGTTACCCTGGATCTTGCCAACGGAGGCAGTGCTGGTGAGCTTGTCAAAGACAGACTGGGCAGTGGGCAAGCTGTTGAAGGAGAGGTAGAGAGCTGCAACACCAGCAACGTGGGGTGAGGCCATCGAGGTACCAGAGATGGTGTTGGTGGCAGTGGTCGATCCGATCCAGGCTGAGGTGATACCGACACCAGGGGCGAAGATCTCAACACAGGTTCCCCAGGAGGTGAATGAGGCTGGGTAGTCGTTGCGGTCAGAGGCAGCAACAGTGTAGGTGTTGGCAGCTCCGGAGGGTGAACCAGTGCAGGCATCAGTTGTGGCGCTGTTACCGGCAGCGACGATCAAGGGGATGTTGGCACGGAAGAGACGCTGGGCAGCATCGTTGATGGCAGTGGACTTGCCACCTCCGAGGGACATGTTGACAACGGACTTGCCTGCAACAGCGCGCTGGGCAACCCAGTCCATACCAGCGACGACACCAGAGGTCGAGCCAGAGCCATCACCTCCCAGGACCTTGACACCGACAATGTTGACCTTCTTGGCAACACCGTACTTGGTACCACCGATGGTTCCAGCAACGTGCGTACCGTGGCCGTTCTCGTCAGTGTTGGGGGAGCCAGTGATGAAGTTGGCGCCAGCGGTGGCACGGCCGCCAAAGTCGCTGTGGGCAGTGTAGACACCAGTGTCAATCACATAGGCAGTCACTCCTGAACCGGCAGCATCGTTGTAGTAGTAGGGCTGGCTCAAGTTGAGGTCGCGCTGGGAGACGCGGGTGAGACCCCAGGAGGGGACGGGGGTCTGGGAGCCAGCGATGCTGACGACAGCATCCTGCTCAATGTACTCGACCTCATCAGCAGCCAAGAGCTCCTTGAGGGCAGCCTGGTTGACGGTGGCAGCGAAACCGGGGATCTTGGCATAGCGGCGGTGGATGGTGGGCTTGCGACCGCGACCGTTCTGGCGGCGGGCAATGTCATCGAACTTGGCCTGGAAGGACTCGACGTTGTTACCCTCCTTGAGGACCACAATGTAGGAATCGGGGATAGCCTTGCCTCCGTTGTTGATCAAAGGAGCAGCCTGGACAATGGCAACGCAGACAGCGAGGATGACGGTGAACTTCATGGTGAGATGTGTGAGTGTGAGTGTAAGAAGAAAAGAGAGAGAGGCTTTTTTTTTTTTTTTGTGGAAAGGAGAGAACTTGATTGTAAGAGTGAAGAACAAAAAAAAAAAAAAAAAAAAGTGGGGTGGGTTGATGGTATTTATACAAAAAAAAAGGATTTATGAGGATTAGCAAGGAAGGATGTATAGCAATAGAGCAAAAGGAGCCCTGATGGCATGTATGAAAAGGTGAGGAATGCTGTCCACAGGTGCAAAGAGGGGGGAAGAGGCAAGTTGGATCACATAAGATGTGAATTCGAGAGGATAGGATTGGATTGGATATGCATTTGTATTCAATGGAAGAGAGAAAGATGAAATACAACTCCAATCCAGTGCTGTGAATGTATGGTGCCATAGCGCAAATAACATGTACATTTTTTCATGTAGGGATTGCACCCTTTTTTGTTTTCTCAAGATGAACCCTGGGAGCAAAGTTGTTAGGCAGACAGGAGCCAATCGGCACTCGGAGCAATATCTTTCAGGAGGTATTATATTATCAACAACATGTGTATACAAATACAATACATATACAATTGTATGTATATATTATATACAGATAGGCTTGTGTCCCCATTCTAAATAGAAAGAACTTGATCGTTTTTGAAAATGTTTGCTCCAATTGCAAAATAGAAATAAAAAATAAAATAAAAGCTTAACAGTTTCGGTTGGAATTAAATAACAATTGGACTAAATAAAAAATAAGGTTATTTTGATTTTAAATCTTTTTTTTATTATTCCTTATTCTAAAATAAATACTAATATTTAGTAAATACACTTCACATTAGAATTAGGGGTAGAGTTTATAATAAGAGATTCAATCGAAAGAAAGAAAAAACAAATAAGGCCCCTTCCCCTCGCATCCTTAAGGTTCTTTCTTAATAACCTTTTTCTATACTCTGAGTCGAATACATTATATATAACAACAATACTTTATTCAGTTCAAAGAAAACAAGTAGAAATATAACAAAGAAGCAAGGTTATGATGATGTGCTTGAGAATAGAAATTGCGTAGAGGTGATGGGATGGTTACTGGTGCTGGGATTGATACTGTTGAACTGGACACTGGACAATGAAGAGATTGTTGAGCATCCAGAATCTATGGTCATTTGAACATGATCACTTCAAAGGTTTGTATGGATTATATATGTATATAGATGGACAAAAGAGAATAGCACTTGGAGATATGGAATGATGAATGCAGACAAAGTCTGTAAACAAGAATAGATCTACAGATCTTTTTTTTTTTTTTTTTTTTTTTGAAGCGTATTAATACCCACATGTCTATAAAAAAAAAAAAAAAAAAATAAAGCTGCTAAAATAACCAGATACCACACACTATTATATAATAAGCTACACTAGCCTAACTGAGATAGAGATATGAGTGATATTAAACAAGGGAGAGAGAGGCCTTTGATAAGTACCTTCCAATAGTGGATTTAACCTAAGCACTAAACGACTCATGCGCGTTGATATTTTTAATGCAACATGGTGGCTAAGACGTTAAGATCTGTAATGCTAGTCTTGAGGACAAGCAAGTTGAGATCCGTTCGGTCTTGTTAATAGTCACCATCTCTCACGAGGAAAAAAAAAAAAAAAAACCTCCCCTCTTTATGTATATGTTAGTTTTTTTTATCTAGTTTTAACTCGATTGCAAGAACCCTAAAGAGAGAACTTGAAGGAAGGGGGCTCGAATACAAAGCCTGAGCAAGAGGCAAAGGCAAATCATCCGCTCAAAGTCCTATAAAGACTGGAAAGCGCAGTGTCTGTTATCAGAGCAATCTCGGCCTCTTGGTGTCCTTGAACAGTGTAAATATAATGTATGTAACTGTCAATAGGCGCTATCGTGTACATCCAGTTTATGATCAGACAGGATACGCTATATATATCCTTTGCTGCAGCGTTCAGACAAAGATCCAGGTCTGTTGGTTAAAACAGTAAGCTCATTCCATATTTGCTTCTAGGATTATTTTGCGGACTTGTTTCTGTTTAAGGGTCTGTTAGACAGTGGGAGAGAAGGATAGGGGAATGCAAGCAAGGCATCAAAGGGGCACCAACCATTCCCACTAAACTCACTGGTGTCTTCCTTTACCATCAAGGCAAGAGAGAGTAAATAATATTTTAGCCTAGCCCTAGCTTAAACTCCAAGTTGAAGTCTCCGTTGACAAATCCCCCAGATGGATCGGAATCTAGATTGATGGAATCACGCATCCTAACCAGTGCGTTTCTAGAAGAGGATCCGATCGATCAAAACAATACTCTCTCTTGACTTTTCTTTTGTGGCTCATCATGAGCAAGTTCCCAAAGGGGGAAAAAAAGGAAAAAAGCTATTGGATACTCAATCTCAGTTTCCTGTCTCGTTGATCTGCAGACATAAATCCAGAAATGTGCACCGTCAACAACCAATGGGCCCATAACCAGCTTATTCGTAAATCAGGCTGTGAGTTAGATTCCCTATACTTTTATATATTCGAGTAAGGGTAATAGCTTGCAAAAAAAAAAAAAAAAAAAAAAAAAAAAATGATTGAAGGATTTTGATCATCTAGGGGGGACTTGATGTTAAAAAAAAAAAAGCCTTACAAGGAGCTATTTTTATTATCATCATTATCACTACTATTTTTCTTTTTTTCCCTAAAGGCAACCAGGGCAATCTTCATCCCGGTTATTTTGAAGAGTGAATGATAAGAAAGCCATTACGATTGAACTTTACAAAAGTCAAATCCTCTATCTCTGAATACACCTCTGCTCTCCATTTTGCCATTGTTTCAAAGAAAAGAAAAAAGAAGAAAACACGTCTATTTGGTTCTACATATCCATCCTACTATAGCATAGGCTCTATGACAAATATTTTATACTATGCTACTTTTTTTTTTTTTTTTTTTTATTCTTCCATAAACACGACATTATCAGATCATAGAAAGAATAGAAAAGTACAAAAAAAACTGTT